AACAAATCACTTCTACTGTCGTGGTAACCAACCCGCTTCCCTATTTATAATGGTCCGGCCCTCTAGCAACTTCAGCGCCAAATTATAGCTAATTTGCCTACAAACGTCAGGTGGTCATAATAATCTGGCCACTCAGTGTATATGCTATTTCTTGAAATATTTTTTTGCTTGATGACATATTTGTGGTCACAAGTTTCTTTAATCACTGATGTCACAATGCCACATTTAAAGAGACAAAAATAACAATTACAAACCAACTCAGAAGTCATTTTAAATCAAAGTTGCTATTTTACACCACAGTTTCCCCCTTTTGATCATTTACTGATCGCCTTAACTACCTATCTCATCTCATTTGTCAAAACCCTTCAAGGGAATTACCCTTCAGACGCCGGCTGGAGGGTAAACCTCATTGGGGGGGAAGGGGGGTTTCCACATCTTGATAAGGTTCTCAAATGCATCGTAATCTGTGGTTTGAGGTGTAAGATGCCTCATCACGGCATATCGATGGTCATCATCTGCTGATGGTGCCTTTGTTAAGGAAGTAAAAAATGTCTTCATTACCGTGTTTCCCCAAAAATAAGACAGTGTCTTATATTTTATTTTCCACGAAAAAAGACACTAGGTCTTATTTTCAGGGGATGTCTTATGTTCTAATGCTGTCCAGGGAGCCAGGCAGGTGGGCGTGCGGGGAGGCGTGCCTTGCGGGGGGGAGGGAGGGAGCTGCGGCCGCTCTCAGCTCTAATGCCGTCCATTAAGCCAGAAACCGTGTTTCCCCGAAAATAAGAGTGTCTTATATTTTTTCGGGGGATGTCTTATGTGTACCTGGCTGCAGCTGTCCGCTCTCCGATCGTGCGGGTGGGCGGGAGCTGCGGCCGCTCTCAGCTCTAATGCCGTCCAGGGAGCCAGACAGGTGGGCGTGCGGGCCTGCCTGGCGGGGGAGGGGGGACGGTTATGGGGAGGGAGCTGCGGCCGTGACATGTAAAATGTAATTATACGGTGCAGCTACCCCGAAAATAAGACCTAGCGCTATCAGGGATGTCTGTAATATAAGACCCACCACCGAACTAGGTCTTATTTTCGGGGTAGGTCTTATATTACAGAAATCCCTGAAGATAGCGCTAGGTCTTACTTTCGGGGTAGGTCTTACTTTCGGGGAAACACGGTAGTTTGATTCTCATCAGTTAGGACCATCATCACCCTCAGCAAACTGGTGCATACCACATGAAATAAAATCATTTCACTAGCTTTTTACAATGGCTGATGTGAATACAAATGTTTCATCCTTCTACCTTTAACAGAAGTTGGGGTAGTCAACTGGACATGGAGAGGTCCATCAAACCTCGGTTCCAGACCCCTCCTGTTGTGACGTTTTATCCCTACCCAGTCTTCTTGGAGGGGACAGAAGGCGCCACCAAAACCCTCCAAAGTGTTGGCCCCCTTCCTGATTTTTCATTGTTTTGCACGTTTGTCACACTTTAATGTTTCAGATCATCAAACAAATTTAAATATTAGTCAAAGATAACACAAGTAAACACAACATGCAGTTTTTAAAGGAAGGTTTTTATTATTAAGGGAAAACAAAATCCAAACCCACATGGCCCTGTGTGAAAAAGTGTTATACAATGAGGGAGCATGGAGAAAGCAGAGAGAGTCTATCTAAGACTATACCAACTGACATTAAACAGGAGGGGAGAACAGTGGGAAATACCAAATGTATACAGAAAAACAAGTTGTAGTAGCGCAAATCTATCATATTGAGGAACAGCCATGTTCCTCAATATAATAATACATAGTAGTGTAATAGCAATAGTGGAAAAAAATATTGGCTATGACAGCACACTAAGTGTATTTTATTTATGGGGGGGGGGGTTTGGAATGTGGGCATTAGGGAGTTATCTGGAGGGTCAGGCCACCTCTGAAATACCCTGGTTATGCTCGGCTGCACCCTAGACACCAACCACATATCATCAACTAAAGGGTGTTAGATTCTTTGAAGAAGGGTATAATGTCACCAAAACAGAATTACCTGGCTGCAGTCACACAGACGGGAGCATTTGTATGCAAACAATGGGCTTACTTTGCCTTGCAGATTTTTTAGTGTTCCTGAATGTGACCAGATGTTCTCACTCTGTTCCTGTTGACCCCGATTCCTTTCCTGGCTCAAAGCTTGCCAAAGATGTCATTGAGAATGATAAAAACACAGGTACAGTTACCCGTCCTTCATTAGTTGGTGCGGCCAAATCTATTTTTGAACATACGTACTGCGATACAGAGAACAGAAATCCAGGCAATAGTATGCCGAATAAGCTGCCCTCTCTGATTCCTTGGAAGATTTTTTGCTATATGATTTATTTTGTGGTCACGAGTTCCTTTAATCACTGATGTCACAATGCCACATAACAAAAGAAACAATTACAAAGCAACTCAAAAGTCATTTCAAATCAAAGTTGCCGTTTTAAAATGTACAGGCTCATTCACACGGATGTGCACATGCGTACAGCGCGCACGCCCATGCTCCTGGGAGGGAGAGGTGCTGCATGTAATTGTATGCAGCTGCCTTTACATCCCTATGGGAGGACGCCGCTGCACGCAGCTACACACCGACCTGAACCTGCATACCCGTACAGGTCTGTACTCGGATGCAGATAGTGTGTGTCCAAGTGCGTGCACCTGGACCTGCACAGATGTGCGGGTTCGGGTTGACGTGTAGCCGTGTCCTCCCATAGGGATGCACAGGTGGCTGCACAGAATTACACATAGCACCTATACATCCCAGGAGCAGGTCTCTGCATGGGCTCAGACACCGTACGCATGTGTGCGCCCATGTGAATGAGCCATATCTTTCCACCTCATGCCCATAATTTAAGATGTTTGGTGCACATAAAGTGGATTTATATCTCTTGTGGCTAGTATGGAATGTATTAGAAGGAAAATGTTTGCGCCGGAGTTCAGCTTTCAATCCACCCCCCTCTATTCTTGTAGGTGACTGTTGTTAACAGTATGTGTCTGCTCCATAAAGATTTCTATTTTCGGTGAAGACCCGTGACACCTTGGTGAAGTGCGTGCTATTTCCGGATTTGGTTGCTATAGGCAGCAGCGGCTAGCTTGTTTGCTTGCACCTGGGATGCAATCATAGTGCAAGCCGGCTTTGGAATGTGAGTGGTGTTTGCTGGGGATTACCTGGTGAATCCAAAATGTTATGGTTGGAGCGAGAGTAGCCCTGTGGGGACACCCATTGTCAGAATTGGGACTTCCCCTCAATTAGGTGAGAGCTGGAGTGCCGAGGTTGCCTACTCCTGACCTGAAGAATTGCTGGAACAAAGTCATACATGTGCACCGGTTAGACAAGGATAGATCAGCTATCGTCGCTTTGGCCAGGCTTGGGCTACCCACACAAATGACCTAGGGGTCCGTAGGAAGGGCTGATTTCGAACAAAGTTTAATTGTCTAGTGTTGGGCATATACATAATGATAATCAATTATAGGGGATGAATATAAATCATCATCATGCCATATGCTGGCTGAATGCCATTCCCACAGCTTTCTCACCACTAGGTGAAGCTGAGGAACATAGAAAATGCTCCGTGGCTCCATCTAGTGGCAGCAATGCCATGTGAACAGCATGCAGCCAGGGTATGGCAGGATGGATGATTTATAAAACATCCCCATAGAGTTGCCTTTGTACTTTAGATCAGTGGTTCTCAACCTGTGTAACCTCAGAACCCACATTTGTCCTTGGTCATTAAGTCGTGACGAAAGTCGCACCGCACTGGAGCGCATGGCATTGCGGTACCGCGCGTTCTGGTGCAGGCAATTAAACTATGGGCGGGAGGTGCATTTGGGGTGCTATTCAAATGAATGGCAACACGATGCACCTCCTGCACCAGAACGCATGGTAGGTTTGACTGCGTGGTACAGTGCGTTAATCGCCAGAATGTGACGTCACTCTAGTTCAGGCATTTCTACAAGGCACGCGAGGGAGCTGTAAGCAATGCACATATGGATCCCATATATGCTCCCTTGCAGCCATACCCCCAGCCCACCCTACCTCAAGCTGAGACTCTGCACCGGGCAGCATTTTCTGAATTGCTGTTCGGCGCAAGAACTGACAGTGCTGCGCCAGTGAAAGGCTGAGAATTCTCTCACCTAGAGCAGTAGAATGCATGCCGCGAACCACGGAACACGGGGTTGTGACCCACTTCTGGGCTGTGATCCACCAGTTGAGAAACACGGCTTTAGGGCTTGTTCACACCATTTTCTGGTGCAGATCTGCAGATGCGGTGCTATGCGTGCAGCGCGTTCCAGACGCGTCCCCAGGGCCGGCCTTAGGGGTGTGCGAGCAGTGCGGCCGCACAGGGCGCCATGGCAACAAGGGCGCTGTGCGGCCGACACAGCTCGTCCTGGGGGCGGTTTCTCTCCCCCTCACCACCCAGTTCCTTTTTTTTTTGTGGAGTGGGGCTGTCAGCTGTTAACTGCAGTGAGGTGCGTTTTTGACGCGTTCGTGCGTTTCCGGACCAGTGAAAATGTGACATGCAGTATTTTTTCTGTCCGGAACAGACTGCGCTGCTGAGAACTGGAGCCCATAAAACACATTGGGATACATTTTTAGTGCAGGAGCGAACTGTTCTGGTCCGGACTGAATCCGGACATCGTGTGAACAAGCCCTTATAGTAACTTGTCCTAAGAGACATCTCATTGCAACCTTGCCTAACCCTTGAAGCATGAGAGGGAGGTTGCACACTCTATACTCTTTTGATGAAGCTCCATGCGCTCTAGAAGCGCAGGTAAAAACGTACAGCACAGAAGGATGTAAAGCTACAATTAAAGTACATTGTGTAGCCATAGGCATAGACACTGGCTGTCGTTACCTGCTACCTTCTAACACAACCAGGGAAGACATACCGATGATACAACCAACATTCGTTTTTAAGACTGCTTCCTACAACGTATCTGCGTCGCCTATCCTGTCGTACAGTATCACAGTCTGGCTGCCTCCTTTACAGCGACATCCTGTTTGTCTTTATCTTAAAAAAAAAGTTGCAAACACAGTTCTTCCCTCACAAGATCAGTAGAGCGGAGGTAACATTGCAGCTCGGAGTGGAGACATCGGGGTGACAACCAAGAGAGAGGCGGCCGTACTGGAGGTGAGATACCCCCCAAAAAGAGACTATGACACTGGTAGTATGCATCTTGCATAGTCCCCAGCATCATTTATGTGATTAGGAAGGACCAGTCTACCCAAAACTGATATTTCTGTTACATGTGGATGCCAGCACACTGAATTATTATCTGACATAGTACAGCTTTCACGGCATAGTACAGCTTTCACGGTTGCAGCAAAAGGAATGTTATTTTGCTAAGTGTATCCACCTGCTATAGTCATTAGGAGCGGGCCTCACTGTCTTTGGCTTTTCATGTATCACATAGTATGGTGGATGCATCAGGAGCAGTGAGACTCTGGGGTGGAAAGCAGAGACAGACTCTGGAAAAGTGTAGCCCGTACAGGGGGGCATCATTTTTGCTAGGATGATGCCATGACGAGGATGGCAATGTTTGTCTTCGTTGACTACCATTTCCCCAAAGACTTAAGTCTCAGAATGGTATAGGTGGGCACGGATGAGCAGCTGACCATCTGGACTTCACAACGTACCTTCTGATTTTCACTAGTGGAAGTGCTCATGGGTCTCCAGTGTCCCCAACAAATGTGAGAAGCTATAAGAAGCCTGAGTCTACCCAATGGTAGGGTTTAGGTTTTCGATGGACCAATCCTTTAAAGTGACACTAAACTCAGGAGTTAAACCTTAAAATGTGTTCAAGTAACTTAACTATTACCAACAATTTATCTTATTTGTGTATCACTCGGCTGTAGATCCTCCAATCATCTCTGAATTGGTGCTGACACTGTCCTTCCTTCTGGAGGGGGGCTACTTTTGTTCCCCATGGTCCCTGTGTGTGTTGTAAAGTAGTCACCGCTCCAAGCTCGCTCCCGGGATGGACTACAATCTCAATACAAATTAATAAACTAAACATGAGATTGTAGTCCATCACAGGAGCAAGCTTGGAGCGGTGACTACTTTACAACACACACAGGTACCATGGGGAACAAAAGTAGCCCCCCTCCAGAAGGAAGGACAGTGTCGGCACCAATTCAGAGATGATTGGAGGATCTACAGCCGAGTGATACACAAATATGATACATTTTTGTTAATAGTTGGGGTTCTTTAACGTATTTTTAAGATTTAACTCCTAAGTTTGGTGTCACTTTAAATATCTGTATTACTATGCCCAACAGTTGGGGATTTATAGCCATAAATGGCACACAAACACATGCAAACACACACATAAAGTTTAGGTAAGCCTAACAATGATCTATTTGCTCCATTTTGTTCTGTTGAACATACCACTGGAAGTGTTTTTGTGATATCTGTCCAATAAGTGCAAAAAAGAAATACCTGTAGATCTGCCGGAAATCTTGTGAGCTTCCTGTGCTTTCTGCTTGTGCGGCACTTTTATCATTTCTCTTGAGCTCCCTCAACCCCCCATGTTATAGAGATGAGGAACGGGGGAGGTACAGTATTCTGTAGTCCTAGTACACTTCTTGTGACAACTGTGCACCCCCATAGATACTGTACAGTGAGGGAGCGTTGTTACCCTAGGACAGGAAGCCTTGTCACTAGGTGAAAATAAAAAACAAAAAGCCTGAAAAAAGGAAAATGAATGCAGTCACCACATCTAAGGGCTGGTAGATATGTTTAGATATGTTGTAGATGAGTGTAAACAGCCTTATTCTGTAGTGGCTATATCGTTTTTTTGAGGGACCCATTACTCCCAGTAAGAAAATGTTCCATGGCAGTCTCTTCATCCACAGCTATCAGAATTGCATTGGTAGAACATTACTTCAAGGTCTGCCTAGGTCTTGGATATACAGAAACATTGAAAGGTTTCCCAAATAATCCAAGAGTTATAAAAGTGACCCCAGTTGTGTCAGTTCCACCCCCAGATCAAAGGATTTGATTTCATGAAGCCGTATGATGCCAGAATATGAGGAGCACAGACAGAAGTTGTTGCTTTGCTTGCAAAGTTTGGTTAGGGTAAGGGCGGCCATACTGGCAGTAGCTGCAAGCGAAGTACCTGATTTGAGCACCGGTCAGGATGTTGTGGCCACGGTGGGGTTGACTGGAGGGCAATGAGGAGCAATATTAAAAATTAAAAACCGTCTACAATATTTCCATGTCAGCAAATATTGAACATTCCCTTTTTCTATAAAGAAGAGGAAAGAAATATTTTACCACATGTGCTGCATCAACATAGGGAGATGGTAGGTTGCATTGATGGCAACCAGATGTCTCATGGCCTGCTGCTTTCAGATGACGGGGGTATGCCTTGCTCTTCTGTTCTATCATAATTTGTCACTTTAAAGTATATCTGTGGCCAGCCTAAGCACATTCACATTTTAAACACTCTGTAGCTGCAGCCATTGTGGAGCAATTCATCCTCAAAGTTCACAGTAGTAGCAGTGATGTTATTACAGTCTTTCTTTTAGCAGCTCAGCTCATCCTTCTTCTCCTCCCAGAGTTCCTCCTATGTTTTTACACTTGAGATTAGAAGGCTGCTCAGTCACTACTGGAAGGCGGCAGCAGGGGGATCTGAGCTGCTGAGCCACTGATAGAAGGGTGAGCTGAGCTGTTTAGTCACCAATCGGAGAAGGGGGAGCTGAGCTGCTGAGTCACTGATGGGAGGGGGTAGCAGAGTGAACTGAGCTTCTAAGTCAGTTATGGGAGGTGGAAGCCGAGGGTGCTTAGCGGCTGAGCCACTCCTAGGGAAGGGGGGCAGGGGGATCCGAGCTGCTGACCCACAGATGGGAGGGGGAGCTGAGCCGCTGAAGTACTTATGGCAGGGGGAGCAGAGCTGCTCAGTCACATATAGTAAGTGGGAGAAGGGTAGCTGAGCTGCTGAGGTACTGATGGCAGGAGGAGCAAGAGAAGGTTAGCTGCTGAGGCACAAATAGAAGGTGGAAGCGGAGGGAGCATAGCTCCTGAACAACACTGCTGGGAAGGGGGGGCTGAGCTGCTAAGTCACTGCTGGGAAGGGGTAGCTGAGCTGCTGAGCCACTGCTAGGGAAGGGGGGCAGGGAGAACTGAGCTGCTGAGTCACAGATGGGAGAGGGAGCAGAGGAAGCTGAGCTGCTGAATCACCAATGGCTGCTAAGGTACTGATGGCAAGCAGAGCTGAGCTCAGTCACAGATGGCAGGTAGGAGAAGGGGAGCTGAGCTGCTGAGGTTCTAACAGCAGGGTGAGCAGAGCTGCAGAGTCATTGATGGGAGGTGGAAGCAGAGAAAGCTGAGTTGCTGGGCCACTAATAGAAGGGGGGAAGAAGGGTGAGCTAAACTGCTGGGGGAAAGCAGGGGGAGCTTTGCTGCTGAGAAAAAGTTTGGAGTGGTAAACAGGGGGAGCTGAGCTGCTCAGAGAACAATTGTTCATGCTGACAGCAGAGTAAGCAGGGGGATAACCACATAATTCTCTGCTACTCTTGCATTGTCCAATCAGCTGACAAGTGTTTGTCCTTAATTGAGCTGTGCTGCTGCCACGGCGGGGGTCCAGGACCTGGTGGTAATGTCTGGGGGTCTCGGGATGATAAGAATGATTGAACAGAATCCTCTTGACAGGTAAACCATTCCAGCATATGGTTCAATGTATTTTTTGGCAACAATGTAAACAAGTATACAATGGAAGGCGGTACAGTATATATACAGGAAAACCACGTTTCTGTTGCTGCCCTCGAGCACTGACATTTGCAGGGCACATTCGATACCAGACACAGACTGTTGACTTGTTTTTCCAGGAAGGCCTCTGCATGAAACCCCCTCTACTGAATGTCCCAGCCTTGGTCCCACACTGAGGACATGCTTGATTTGGTTTCCACCGCCGGGGGAGCTACGAACATTTTCACTTCTTGAGAACAGAGGACTCCGTTACCCACCCACACACACTTTCCAGCTGTGTATGTCACCAGCTGCAAGTGTCACTTAAACCCACCGAGCATCACACGTGTTAGTCCCCCGTCCTCCCCACGTCTGAAGAGATGGAGGCCGTTGCCATCTACAACTTCAAAACCACGGAGAGAGATGAGCTGCCCTTCAACAAAGGAGACATACTAAAGGTAAGGCTGGACTGTCATAATGTATAATGCTGAACCATTTACATCAGGACCCGTTCCGAAGGAGCTTACAATCTAATTTCCCTATAATCGTAATACATACTGTGTAACCATTTTGAGTTGAAGCCAGGTAACCTACCCTGAGATGGATTTGCATCACTAGAGCCTATAGGCACCCAACACCCCTTTGATAGGGCCACCTTGTTACACAAAACATTTTGTTGCTTTTCTGGTCCTAACCTGACTCTGAGTATTCTGGCAATAAGTCTATAGGAGATGACAGTAGTTCTGCTGGTTGTTTGGGAGAAAAAAATGTGTGCCTGATATTTATGCAGTCGATTTTTCTCTGCCGCCATAAGGCTCTGGCCTACTCTTCCCTGAGCCTATCTGTATGATATTGGATTTTAGGAGGAAACCACACGAACCCCACAAGTTCAGCAACCAAAAACGTCTTACATTCAGCCCTTTAGCCGCAAAATCTTTCCATTGCCGAACTATCTGACACCGTCCCCTTGGAGTGTCAGTCCACCTGTTGCATTCTCCATAAGAGGGGACATGATTTTGTTGTACAAAATGTTCCGTGGTGATAGCAACATCGGCACTAAACTTTTTACTGTAAACTCTGTAACAAGGACTAGAGGCCACCACCTAAAACTGGTGGAGAAAAGATTTATTCACAAAGGGCGTAGGGGCTTCTTTTCAGTTAGAGCGGTTACATTTTGGAGCTCTCTGCCACCAGCAGTGGTATCAGCAAAGAATATTGATACGTTCAAAAATCAATTGGATTCCATCATAAGAGACCGTAACATACAGGGGTATAGGTACAATTAAATATTAGACCACACGGGGACTCTATACACACATGCAGATCTAGAAAGGATTGTCACCAGCACACCAAAAGTTTTGAAGCAAAAAGTCCTTTATTGACAAATCGCCATCCAATACAAACGCTTTCGGGGTCTCAGCAGTACCCCTTCATCAGGCTCATTCAGAATGAGAATGAGCCTGATGAAGGGGTACTGCTGAGACCCCGAAAGCGCTTGTATTGGATGGCGATTTGTCAATAAAGGACTTTTTGCTTCAAAACTTTTGGTGTGCTGGTGACAATCCTTTCTAGATCTGCATTGTTCACGGGGCTGTCCGTGGTCACTACAAGCACCCACCTGCTTGGCAGGTTTACTACTATTCCGGTAAGGAGTGCAGCTGGTTCTTGACTACATCTATACACACATGCACACACAAGAGACACGCACACACACATAGGTTGAACTTGATGGGCCTGTCTTTTTTCAACCTCAAGTACTACCCTGTTTCCCCCAAAATAAGACCTAACCCGAAAATAAGACCTAGTTCTATTTTTAGGAATTGCTCAAATATAAGACCTACCCTGAAAATAAGACCTAGTTGTATGTAACTATATAATGTAAAATAATAATAAAATAAATTATAATGAAAAAATAAAATAAATAATAATGAAAAAAGAAAACAGGACAGACCTCTCAGTGAAATAGTGAGGGGAGTTGGGAACCCAGACGTTAAGCTCTGATCATTAAGGTTCATCAGACCTATAAGAAGTTAGTTCTACCTACCAGCATCCACACGACACTGAAATCAGCCCTTCAAGCAGAGCTAAACCCATAGAAAAGCTCATATAAACTTTAACATGTTTACTGAATTTAGAAAGTTGCTTCAATTGTGTCCCTGCTATGAAGATCCTTGCTCAGGCCATTCCTGTTTTGTGTCCCAACACTATGGGGCCTCTGCCACTAGAGGGCACCAATGAGCATAGAAAAATACCTGTGCTCCACAGTGCCATCTAGAGGCAGTAATGTTGTGGCGAGCTTTTTGCAAGGCGGTAGGTTTATCCATCAGCCCTCTATGGTTCCCTCTCCCAGATCTGCGTTATCACATGCAACCCTGGCGGAGACTACAATCAGCCATGCCGAGACACACATCGCACAGGCATGGCCCATGTTGTCACTGGCAACGATGTACGGTTGGCACTGAAGTGCATGTAGACAGGTAGTGGCTGAAAGGTGGGAGGGATAATCAGAATGGATATGCAATAATGAATAATAAAGGTGCATTGAGTATTTTTGGGAAAATAAATGGCAGTTCTTCATAGTACACCGGCCTTCAGGATTTCTATAATTGCCATTGGTGGCTCAGAAAATAATTTTACAGGTTAAAGCAAATTGGACCTCTGCATATGTCCTGTCACTGAGTTCCAATGACTTCCAGCTCATTAGCCTTTTACATTGTGACATGAAATGTTTGCTTTGGAATTTTATCTCCGATGGTTTAATAATATGTAGGATTCAATGTCAATGGCCCAAAAAATCCCTATAAATATCCAAGTTCATATAAACAGGATGTTGTCTTCCTGCCTGAGCCGCACACAGATGTCACAGGCAACTTTAAATCAGATCCTATGTTTGTGTTTTCTGCATACAAGAGAAAAAAAACAAGATAATCCCAATTCAGCAATGTTGTGACCTCCTCTGGACGGCTGTTGTGGTTATTTTGGGTGCAACGGTTTCAACGCTATCTAATTTATCACACCCAAAAACATATCCCCAACCTAAGAGGAAGAAATATAATTCAGACAAAACAAGAATATTAAAATTCCCGCCAAAAATATGAATGAAAAAAAAAACAGCCCGATAAAGATAAAAAGCCACTTTTGCTGCAATATGCACCCTCATTCCAGAGCTGCCAGCAGATGTATCAGTCTTCTGGGTTGTATGACTGCCGGCTTCGTTCAACCCACTTCCTCTCAGCCCAGGCTGTCATGGACACGCCCCCCCCCCCCCCAGTGGAGAAGCACAGTGATAAGCTCATATGTCTATCACTCAGCTCTGTCCTCCTATCAGGACGCTGTTTGTCAGTAGACATGGAAGCTGCAGAAAAATTTGGTTCGGATATTTCGTTATTTCGGGATTTGAATCCAAAATGTTATTCGGTTCGGGTTTCGGATTCGGACGAAATCCGAATTCCGTTAGTTTCGGATGAGTTTGTGAATACCACAGAAAACCATATACAGATATTGATACTAAAGCTGAAGCTCCCAGACCCGAATGGCATTCAGGATCCGAATTTCCGAATTGCTTTTCGGGAGCTCCTGAATGCCATTCGGGTCTGGGAGCCCCAGCTTTAGTAATATATGTATATGGCTCCCAGACCCGAATGGCATTCAGGATCAGAATTTTCGAATTGTATTCGGGAGCTCGCAAATGCCATTCGGGTCTGGGAGATATACATATATTACTAAAGCTGAGGCTCCCAGACCCGAATGGCATTCGCAAGCTCCCGAATACAATTCGAGAATTCGGATCCTGAATGCCATTCGGGTCTCGGAGCCTCAGCTTTAGTAATACTGTATATGGTTTCCATGTTGCCATAACGAAAATTCATATTCAGACCCATACAGAGCCATTAAACCGAAAAACACATCTGATTGGCCAGAAAAGTCACATGTCCGATTCAGTTTCGTTTTTGAACGAAATTCTTTCTTTCTTGGAAGGAAAGAATGAATAGAAAGGGAAAGAAAGAAAAGAACAAGGATGCAGGGGAAATCTTGCCATGGGTAACACCTGTTCCAGTGACAGCCAACACAGAGAGCAAAAAAATAAACTAACAGTGATTTTTAACCCTTCACCACCCTACAATACAAAACAAAGATGCGTTCTGATTGGTTGCTGCAGGTCATGGCATTTACAACCTGTTCTATGCTCTTGATAAGTGTATGGAAATAGGATGTGAATGGTTGCTCTCTCTGTTCTACGGAGGAGAATAACATGTCATGATTACATATTGGGCAGTGAGTGACATTGTCACATAAAGACATCCTATAACGAGGCTTGTCATCAATTAGAGAGATGCACCTTTTCATAGTCTGAAGCCTGCACAAAGGCTCGGGGATTACCTGCGGGGTGTGGATCATGTAACACTTTCTTTCTCTCCTCAATAAATGTCCTCTAATAGGAGTCTATCATGAAAATAAAGTGCAATTATAAGGAGAGCGCCCGCAAATCATTTATAGATTGATGTGCGGAGTGTGACGGACACTTCTCAGAAGGGAAGTGTGAAAGGCTGAAGGAGGCGGACTGGAGGTTGAGATTTTAATCTTTGATATTTTCAGTGTTTGTGGTTAAGATCAGAAGTAAACAAAGAATAACTAGTTTGTAAAATAAGGTAATTATGAACCATTGCATGTGACTGCTGTGTAATTCTTCATCCGGCCAGCAGGTGGGGGCCTTGCCTGCTCACTTTGCTCTCTCCACCACAAAGAGCAATAGCTCAAGGTGATATTTATTATTATTATAGGAGGATTTATATAGCGCCAACAGTTTGCTCAGCGCTTTACAATATAAGGAAGACATTACAATCACAATACAAATCAACTCAAGATGGTAAGGAGGGTCCTGGCCATACGAGACTACAATTGTAGCCCCAACACCTTTTGTGAGGTGGCTACTAGAATTTAAATGATTGCCAGAGCTGTAGTCAGTCTGGCTGAATTATAGTTGGCATTTATCTGGTAAATTCCAGGTCTTTTGGCATTGATTGCGTGACTACTGCAGTGTGGGACAGCCAATGAGGGGCACCGTGAGTGTGTGTGCAGTCCACTAGCCAATCACTAGGGCTCTGTTAGCCAGTGTTGCATGCTAGCATAGGGTTGCCACCTTTTCTTCAAGCGAAACCTGAACACTGTAGCAACACGGCGACATTTTTTGGGAGAATGAGTCGTGGCTTATTTATATGTAAATAGTGCCACCCATTCTTATGTAAATATCACAGTTGAGACTATTTTCAGTGGGGGGGCCAGTAGCCCCTATATTGATTTTGGTTGCCCCCGTCTGCCTGACATCTTGTGTCCGGGTTTCTGCTGCCTTAAACCCGGACACAGCATTCAAAACCCGGACTGTCCGGGTGAATGCTGGACAGGTGGCAACCCTATGCTGGCACTGGGCATATATACTCCAGGGAATTGCCATGTGCCCAGTCGGGTTCCAGTCATGGGTTAGTCCAGTTTGGGGTGCTGTCCAGCCTGCCCCCAGGCTAGGCCTGGGGCATGGGAACCCTGGAGTGCGGGAAGTGTTTAGCTAGGCCTCAAGTCTGGAGGAGGCCTCTGCGATGGTTGGAGGAGGAGAACCAGGGAAACTGATGGCTACTGGGGGTGCCTGGAATATAGAGGGCCTCAGGAGCAAGTCTGGTACCTCTCCTACTAAAGATTCTGTGCCCATCCCTATCCAACTGTGCTGCAAAGGGATCTACTCTGAATTACTAAAAGGGACTGGTGAGTCGTCTAGAGTCTGTGTCTGTTCTACCCGGGATGGCTAGGCCTCTACACCCTCTCTCCTAGAGTGAATATGTTAATAAAGTTCTTCAGCATTGTACTTCTGGCCTGGATGTCAGCTCTGTTGGTCACCAGAAGAGGGCGATTAATGCTCATGGGGCAGCTGGTTGCTAAAATCCCCTAGACAAGCTATATGTGACCCGGGTTATTCTGGTGGATGCTTCGGGGGTGAGCGCTACACAATCTACATGCTTTTAACTTTTATTCTGTTCTGGAGAGGAGCAAAAGGTTAGAGCCCCTGCAAGGGCGTCCCGAGGCCGGGTGACACCCAGAGCGGAGAAGAGGCGACACCCCTTCGTGACATAATTGCGCATGCACGGTATTCTTATTGATGCCTGACAGTGGCCATCTTGGTGATGGACGCCGGCAGAGAGAGGAGGGAACGGACACCCGGCGGGATGAGGTATGCCGCCTCTCTCCTGACACTGTCCATGACCGAGTGCCCGACTCTTCATAGGGGGTGACACCAAAATGACTGTCAGTGCGGGCCGCACCCCCCTTGTGATGCCACTGAGCCCCTTTTTAATCTCTCTTTGAGTACCACTGGGCAGATTTCCTGTACCTTGCTGTCATTAGTAGAATGTAGAAGGTCTTACAATGTGTTTATTGCTGTCAATTTCTTCTATGAGTGTCACGGGGACAGGAAGTGGGGGAAAATCTCCCCAATGGGGTCACAGACACAAATGAAATCTTACACAGGCCTATGCTACTTCTTTTGAACACTGAACAGAGCCAGCTGTACCCGCCCCCTCCCCGTCCGTTCCGCCAGTCAGCGCTGGCGGAGCGGGGAGGGGGAATCCAGCCCTCCCCCTGTCACGGCAGCGAGCCGTGACAGGATTGAGAGGTGAGCGAACTCCGGTATGTGTGCGCTCCCCTCCCGATCTACTGAGCCGGCCTGTGACAGTCTCATTGTCACAGGTCGGCTAGAACTATGAGGTGAGTGAAAAGCACTCACCTCATAGTTCTCCTTTAAATGATGCCTCTTTATCCGATCTTCTTCTTCTTTACTGTAGTTTTCAGCTGTCTCTCCAGCGCTGGTCCGGGTCTCTGATCCAGCGCTGACTCCTCTGTCCTCCTCTTCTCTGATGTCCCACGGAGTCTGTGCGGGTGAACGCTGCTCCATAGATACTTACCTTGTGTCTCTCCTCATCTCCCGGCCGAACATCTGAACTGCGCATGCGCCCGCCCCAAGATCCTTTGCGGCCGCCCGACACTCTTCAGATGTTCGGACGGAAGCGCGCGGCGTAGACACAAGTAAGTTTAATCCTTTTGAAAAAGTTGTTTGTTTTTTTAAAAATCGTTTTGCATATGTCTACTGCTTGCCAGCCGCAGATATATGCGAAAACATGCGAGGGTTTATTAACCCTTTAAGCCTTGTAGAGGACGGCAAGGCTGGGTTTTCGAAGGCCGATATATTTCACCACTGTTTGGGTTGTGGTCCCTTTAAGGGTGAATCTTCCTGCCACAACTTTAAAAGTTCAGCAACTCCAGAGAGTAGTGTGGGAGTTGTGAGGAGAAAAGTGGCAGCTGTGGCTAGTATGTGAGAGTCCTGCTGTGTTGCTGAGATTCAGGATTTATATTCCTAGGAAGGGATTTTCGCCAAGTTTCGGACTCTATATAACAAGTTGGTGAGACACATTTATGTTTCGGTATTTAGGATACGGACTTTTACTTTGAGTTTTGGCTGACGTTAAGCTTACATTTGTGTTTTCACTGCCCTGAAGAGGGAAATTAAAACTAAACTCTGTGAGCTCCCCAACTTTACAGCCTTGACGAAGCAGAATCTTTCTTAAATCCCGAAATGTGTTGGCTGTTCCGTCTCATCTAGTTCATGCGTTAAAGGACTGTTATTTTGGACAGTGGTGTGGCACTTGCTTCATAAATTTTAGCTTTTCCCTGCTCTGTCTAAACCACACAAATTGGCTAGAGTTGGGCTTTAAGCCTGAGGTTCATACAGGTATCACATCCTATCCACTCAAGGCTTCAGTGTTTTCCCCTGGCGGTCTGTATATTGCGCCAGTCTACCCCATGTACCTTTATTTAACAATCATTTGGTGATCTGGAAACCCCATACGTGCCAAATGTCCTGGATTTGCTAGGGCAGTCTCACATCTTGGCCCACTGTCCTAGCGATGGTGTGTCCAGAGTCATGTCCCAACATCCCAGCATCAAACTTCCTTGAGTTACTGCACATGCCCAGTATTTCAAACAAGGCATTATATGCAGGGATTGGGGCTCCTAGTGGGCAGTGTGCCCATGAAAATTCCATACAGTGGACATAATGGGCGATCCCCACATATTTAGAGGCAGGGTCTGGGTGGAAGCAACCTGCAAAATGGGCATGATAGGCGGTCCCCACATATTTAGAGGCAGAGTGCTGGCGGGAAGAAACCGTCAAGAGGGCATGATGGACGGTCCACACATATTTAGAGGCAGCATGTGGGGGGGACCAATCTGTAAAGTGGGCATGATGGGCGGTCCCCACATATATAGAGGCGGGGTCTGGGCATGACCTACCCTTAAGTGGGCACTTTCTGATATAGGCCCTCTAAGTCTTCTCTTCCCCATCCAAAACACTTAGGTGCTGATGTATACCTCTTCTGCCCAGCGTAGAAGAGGTATATAGCTTCTTACTGATTATCTTGGTGGAGCTCATCTTCTAACCTCCTTGGAAAGTCGGGGAGGGAGAGGGTGGAGAATATGATCTATAAAGTCGCCTTTCTTCCTCTTACAAATAAAATGTAACAGTCTGGTACTCCAGATCTCTGTGAGAGATATATAATACCTGGAAGTGTTACACTGACACATTACTAGGCATTAGGGATGCACCAATATATGGGCCGCCGAAACATATCGACCGAAAATGGCACTTTTGGCTAAATGTTCTTTCTGTCCTCCCCACTGGGTGCTGCCTGTGTCCTAGCGGGGAGGAGAGAAACTGTCACAGGCGGCCGAGCACTGCGGGAGGAGAGCGATTAGGAAAAAAACATTTTGGGTTTCGGCCAGGCATTTTTTTTTATTTCGGTTTTAAAATGTTCATTTCGGTGCACCTCTACTAGGCATGCATGGACTTATTATTCAAAATGTATCTGATGATAGCTCCACATGAACACAGTAACAATAGACACTTCTATTCTTCTCTGTATAGTTCTATACTGATTTCTCATACCTGCTTTCTCTCTCTCTAATGTTGATGTTTAGAATTCTTGGACTTCATGTTTTTTTTCAGATCCTCAATATGGAAGACGATCAGAACTGGTTCAAAGCAGAACTTAAAGGACAAGAGGGCTACATTCCGAAGAATTATATCAAAGTCAAGCCCCATCTGTAAGTATTAGTGTCATCTACCCCCAGTCCTGATTTCCAGAACTGGCTAGCGCCGGAGAAAACTGGAAGTGACATCATAACCATTGAATGAATCTGAGAGCAAACTGCATTTGTCCATCGACAAGCCCAGAATGTGAGTTTCATCGATATAGGGAAATGTGCCTGACCATCAAATACACTCACCACACAGTGATAAAGCACTGAAGCTCAGGAATCGTTAGGAATATGCTATCTCTGTGCAGACTGGAGGTAGATGAGACTAAAAAGGCTTATGCCACCTTTCCTACCATGTTCCGTGTTCCACCAATATTTAGGGTGTGACATGGAACATGGCGCCCATAGAGACCCTTTAATTATTTTCTTTACAGGATCTTAGTGTTAGGTTAGGAACACCTAGAACAAACTTACAATTCGTTTTAAATCTTTATTTGTTAGGAACTGGGCAGCATAGTGGCGTAGTGGTTAGCGCCTCTGCCTTGTAGCACTGGGGTTCGAAGCCTGGCCAGGTCACTATCTGCATGGAGTTTGCATGTTCTCCCTGTGCTTGTGTGGGTTTGTGTGGGAAGGTGGAGCTGAGTCTATGATATAGATTTGGCTGTAGGTGTCCCTGTTCCCAGCACTGGTACTGGAAGGTGGAGCTGAGTCTATGATGTAGATTTGGGCTGTAGGTGCCCCTGTTCCCAGCACTGGTACTGGAAGGTGGAGCTGAGTCTATGATATAGATTTGGGCTGTAGGTGCCCCTGTTCCCAGCACTGGTACTGGAAGGTGGAGCTGAGTCTATGATATAGATTTGGGCTGTAGGTGCCCCTGTTCCCAGCACTGGTACTGGAAGGTGGAGCTGAGTCTATGATATAGGTTTGGGCTGTAGGTGCCCCTGTTCCCAACACTGGTACTGGAAGGTGGAGCTGAATCTATGATATAGATTTGGGCTGTAGGTGCCCCTGTTCCCAGCACTGGTACTGGAAGGTGGAGCTGAGTCTATGATATAGATTTGGGCTGTAGGTGCCCCTGTTCCCAGCACTGGTACTGGAAGGTGGAGCTGAGTCTATGATATAGATTTGGGCTGTAGGTGCCCCTGTTCCCAGCACTGGTACTGGAAGGTGGAGCTGAGT